TTTTACTCGATGTGTGATGAGAAAATTTCATGAACGATGCTTATTTATGTAAATTAAGAAAAAATATTAAAAATTAGTGAATGTCAACAGTCAAATGGATTGTAGTACCACACATGCAAATACGACTTCAAGGAATGGTTCGTTTCCGGTGAGAAATCTTTACATGAATTGATGGAACTCTACTTAAGCCGTGTCACAATCCTCCCAGGTTCGTGTTCCAAACGGAATGGCCATTCTTTAAAATACTGTTGCGCGGGCCATACCAAAGAATGAATGGATTTACTTTTCGTGATTCTGATGGTTTCAATCCAGAATACTCAACTGAGAAATTCAGAACCTGCCGTTGATCCTATGGTCGACAAAGAAGTTCAGTTTTCTTCACATGAAGTCGGCAACACTCATTCGTTTAGCCTATGAGTTTCAAAGGTCCTACGGCAGTTCATGCAAATCAATGACTCGTTAGCCCTCGTAACAATCAGAACAGTACTGAAATCTATTAATTTTTCATCTAGTGACCGTTTGGCAATAGCAAGGTTCAAGTGGACATGTCCATAGCTTTGTTTCTTATATTTTTATTTCTAGGATTATTTTGGAACAGTTTCAAAGAGTAAACTTTCAAGGTATTGTTCAAGTACCAGGCCAGCAAAAATATGTTGCATAACTACGGCTGACTGCTTTCAAAATGAACAGAACATTTTATTTCGAACCCACGAACACGCGCTGACAAGTATAAGAAAGTGTGGCAGTTTTACTGATGAGGAATAACAAAAACTTCATAACAGTTCACTAACTCAAAACAAGTGCAAAAGCTTCATAATCGCTGCTCATATTCGAATCTAGCAATAGAAGCTTCAAGGAAGTACCCTCAACACCGATATTCGAATTATAACTTTCAGTGACATCATAAATCTAAACTGTCAAGTCATGCTACGTGTACTTGATCTGTTAAAGGCGTTTTATCACCAGCGTTCCTGATTCTATCTGAGAGCCTGTGTGTCTGGAAGTGCAAAAAACTACAAGAGCTAAGAAATTCTACAGAAGCTCGACTATTGGCTATGAAGCCGCATATTTTTCCTGTCTGCTCAAAACCTCGTGCGTCATTCGCTTCCTCTTCCCATCGAGTGAACAGAAAGACAAGACACTGCGCTAGAAATAAC